AACGAGTTCAAAGCGTATAAGCTACTTTTTCAAGTGGGAGATTATAGAAGTCCCAGGCTTAGAGAAATTGTCATTTTATTTATATTCTTGTGTTTCTAGTCAAGTTCTAAATTAGACTCCGCCTCCAGCTGCAGTTTACAGCTTTCACTACTTCACCATTAACGACTTGGACAAGGATAATAGATTGGATGGTATTGAAATCCTGAAGTCTTTGAATCACCAGCATGGAGGAGAGCAGGGACTTGATGGTATTCTTTCCTATGTGCTACGATACAGTCTTTCCGTCCAGTTCCTCAAACGCGAGCGGTGGGATGAAGCCGCCTATCTTTTGATCAACCCTTATAACATATTTTTAGTCTTACAACTGCTCCACTGATAAAGAATCTTACCTAGTGACTGTATGGAACGATACTGACTGCATTGTAGAAATAGTATATTCGTGATTTTGTTTACAGATCATAATGTATCAGTTATAGCTTTGACGATGACAGAGGTGGAATTGGAACAGGCAACGGACGGTGTGCTGAATGAATTGGACAAAAACGGTGACGGTTATGTTGACTATGGAGAATATCGCACTGCAGTAGCATTCTAAAATTATTATTACCCTTCTTTGCCCAGTGTGCTTGTTTGAGAAAGTGCCATAGATGAATCGTTCTTTTGTGTTTCATTTTATTACCTCAAATTTTCTTAACGTATAATATTCATAACAAGAATATCGCACAGCTACCGTAACTATGCAACTGATGGACGACATGAACAGTTTCATTCTGAATAAAGGGACCACTCAGCAGTGGATGTACGGTAGACTGAACTTAATATTTCAAAGCTTTTCATGTGGCTTCCTTCCTGTTGCGTTCGCAACGGTGCATGTAAGCTTTAATTTCATGAAATGTAAATTTTCTTTCATTTTTCCTTGAAGCAATGAAATAATAACCACCGCTATCTTTTCTATGCAAGATGAGCAAGTCAGATCAACTGATATAGCATAATTGAATAAGGAAATGTTCTTTAAATCACTTTCCCATAACACCTTATCTGTTTGAGATAATGGGAGAATTGCAGGTGCTGTAAACACAACAACAGAGTTCACAATGCAGTATTAATTCGATTTTTCAACTGTATGCCCTTACTGTATATTAAGGATGGAATTTCCTAATTTTCTTATGGCACCTCCTACACTGGCGTTGCTTGCATCAATGCTTATTTCTCTGATATTGATTTCAGACTTGCGAATAGAAACGCCATTCTTTTCTTCAATCACTATAAAAATTCTATTGTTGAGTTTCGTTTCAATCAGAAAATTTTCTCAACTATGTACTGACCTTTCCACTTCCTTTCTGTACAACCTAGCGCATAAAACATCGCATCTTGAGCTTGCCTACGGATTGTAAAATTAGAGAGGATGATACGGAGTAATAAGTGAAATAACAGAACCCTATGTTGTTATTAGTTCAGTTGCATGTGCATCTTCAATGCC